TTAGGACAGCGTCTTTCAAAAGCCATGTAGCCTTTCCGATAAATCTAATATGGCGGTGCCAATATGGCATTGACAATCTGCTGACATGGTCCCTGATCGTACGAAATCTTTGATCCACGTGCCAAAACCACCTGGAATGGCTTCAAAATCACTATTGGGCAGTTTTCAAGGCCGGTAAACATTAATCCGTACCTAAATTCTCGAAACTTTATATGGCGGATTGAATATGGCGACTATATATTTCAATCCACCATTTAACTCACAATAAGTCTTTTTTTACTGTGAAGATTACTCAAAATTCCTTTTAATTCTTTATCTGAAGGTTCGTAAGGTCAATGAATATGATTTTGGAGTCCAGAGGTATCCGTAATAAAAGATGGCGAATCCAATATGCCAGCGAAAACACCTGCAGTTTCGTTATAAGCTCATCTATAAAAGCGGAAGAAAACTCAAAATAGCTCGAAATCGACCACGTGTGAAGTGATGACGTCAATGACTATGAGTTTGTAGCCACAATAGGGAACACCAACAGTTCGTCGCAAACAGTCGTGAAAACGACTGATGAAAAATTGTTTGTTGTAATGGATAATCACCTAGCGACTGGAAAGGCAGGAATTCGAATATCCTAAAGTGCTGTATAATCTCACAAAGAAGACTCAACTGTGCTCAATGTAAAATTTTGATACTGAATAGTAATAGTTCTAAAAGTGCTTCAATAGAATTTGGTGTTCCATATTCTGGCTACAAACTCATGGACATTGACGTCATCGCTACACACGTGGTCGACTTCGAGCTATTTTGAGTTTTCTTCCGCTTTAGTTGACCTTATAACGGAACTGCAGGTGTTTTTGCTGGCATATTGGATTCGCCATCTTGTATTACGCATACCCCCCGAGTCCAAGATCATATTCATTGACCTTACGAACCTCATTTTGAGTAATCTTCACGGTGGAAAAGGACATATTGTGATAAACAGTGGATTAAGATATGTAGTCGCCATATTGGATCCGCCATAAAGTTTCGAAAATTTAAGTACGGATTAATGTTCACCGGCCTTGTGAAAACTGCTCAATAGTAATTTTGGAGCCATTCCAGGTAGTTTTGGCACGTAAATCAAAGATTTCGTACAATCAGGGACCATGTCAGCAGATTGTCAGCGCCATATTGGATTTTTCGGAAAGGCACATGGCTTTTGAAAAGCGTTGTTCTAACGAACATTTTGAGCCGTCACACGTCTCATTCCATTACAGCAATTTTTGGACGCAGTGGTGGCCCGGTTGACGTGAAACGTTTCATAATGTATTTTATTGTTCGTTAAAATATGCTTAAATAATTTATTAGAATTAAACGTTGATATTATTTTATTTTATTTTTATTTTTGTCTTTCTGTTTTATTTATTAATAAATATTTTATTAATAAGAATATTTTATTAGAAAGAAAAATAAAAGCAGTTAAGAAAAACATGCAAGATTACTTATGAAATTTATGAATGGTTGTTTTTATTTATGACGATAATGATTTATCTTGTTAGATTTGACTGTCATTTTCAGTTTAATAATTGTCCAAGATGTAACTAAATTTAATAAAATATTATATTTCTTCGAAAAGATTTACTTTTTTTTTAAACCTATTAAAAATTAAAATTTTTTATAGGTGTTTCAAGGTACAAAAAGAAGTGTTCTAAGGTTCATCAAGCTGCTGTACCTTAAAATAAAATTTCCAATTTAAAAAAAATTTCTGTATTCTCTTACAGGATGGTAATAAAAATTTAGGTTTTTTTATACTAAAATATATATATATGGGACGTTCCATGTCAACCGAGACAGGGCCGTCTCCAAAATTCTATTGAACCGATTAAAATGGTTAAGGGCTTAAAATCTTTGTTTTTGTGTGCTTTATCAAATACAGTGTGGTACTTTTGAAAATTCAATATGGCGGTCAAAATATGGCGCTTCATATGAGTTAAAAACACAAATCATATGATTAAATTGTTGTTTTTAATAGAAAAAAGAGGATACATAGCTTGTGAGTAGATAGCACTAAGATTTGGATATCTCTCAAAAAAATAGCGGATTCAATATGGCGGACAAAAAACCAAAACTTTTACCAAAATTTATGAAACTCAATATTTGGGGGTTTTTTAGGTCGCTGATTACGAAGCCGTTCATGATTTTTTAAAATTCAAAATGGCGGATTTAATATGGCGGACGAATTTTTCTTAAATTCATCAGATTTACTTGAAACTCGTTACTCGGGGGTTTTTGGGGTCGCTGATTGCAAAATTGAAGTCAGTTTAGAAAAATTTAAAATGGCGGATCCAATATGGCGGACTGATTAAGCATTACATCTTGCCTTCATTGGTTGGATTATTACATCTTGCCTTTGCTGGCTGGATTGTCGATTACATCTTGCTTTTGCTGGCTGGATTGTCGATTACATCTTGCCTTTGCTGGCTGGATTATGCATTACATCTTGCCTTTGCTGGCTGGATTGTCAATTACATCTTGCCTTTGCTTGCTGGATTATGCATTACATCTTGCCTTTGTTGGATATATAGGATCCGCCATTTTGAATTTCTCTAAACCGACTTCAATTTCGTAATCAGCGACCCTAAAAACCCCCGAGTAACGTGTTTCAAGTGAATTCGATGAATTTTAAAAAAATCAGTCCGTTATATTAGATCCACCATTTTGAAATTTTCTAAACTAACTTTAATTTCGTAATCAGCGACCCCAAAAACCCCCGAGTAACGAGTTTCAAGTGAATCTGATGAATTTAAGAAAAATTTGTCCGCCATATTAGATCCGTCATTTTGAATTTTAAAAATCATGAACGGATTCGTAATCAGCGACCTCAAAAACCCCCAAATACTGAGTTTCATAAATTTTGGTAAAAATTTTGTTTTTTTGTCCGCCATATTGGATTCACCATTTTTATTTTTTTGAGAGACATCCAAATCTTAGTGCTATCTACTCACAAGCTATGTATCCTCTTTTTTCCATTAAAAACAACAATTTAATCATATGATTTGTGTTTTTAACTCATATGAAGCACCATATTTTAACCGCCATATTGAATTTTCAAAAGTACCACACTGTATTTGATAAAGCACACAAAAACAAAGATTTTAAGCCCTTAACCATTTTAATCGATTCAATAGAATTTTGGAGACGGCCCTGTCCCGGTTGACATGGAACGTCCCATATGTACTTTAATAATATATTTTTTTCAAAATTTTTAAATTAAAACTGTGGCTCAGAAAAATCAAAAACTTAAAAGTGTTTCGAGGTACAACAGGTACAACATCTTCCCTTATACGTATATTTTAATATAAAAAAAACTATTAAAAAAGAATTATTAAACTGAAAATGAAATCAAATTTAACGATAAATTATTATCGTTACAAATAAAAACAACCGTTCATAAATTTTATAAGTAATCTGTGTATTTTTCTTAACCGTTTTTATTTTTCTCTCTAATAAAATATTTATTAATAAAATAAAACAAAAAAGCAAAAATTTAAGCATCTTTTAACGAACAATAAAATTTTACATTATATATTTTTGTTGCTTCTCTCAGTGAGATACTTTCGTCGGTTTAGTTCCTAAAACTGCATTTACAACAGATATCAGAGATCCAGCTCCTTATGGAAAAATACACTCAACTTTTGGTGTTAACCGTAAAAAAAACACCAAAAAAAACATTAAAGTTGAGTGTGATTTCGGACCTTCAAATAATGGTTAACCATCAAAAATAGTGATTAACCTTTAATTAATGGTTAATCCTTAAAATTGACGGTATAAACCCTAAAAATATAAACCCTCAAATGAAAGCCGTACAGCACCTTTCATTGCATTTTATTTCGTATAAAATATAACGTGTTAAATACGTAATTAATGGTATGAAATATTCAAGTCTCAATACGCATATAATACATAGCAAGTATACTGTGCATATTATATATAATATATATTATATATAATATATGTAATTATAATGTATGAATGTATCAAACACGTATAGCCCAGTAAAATGACTCGAAATTTATCGATTTGGAGAAAATAATACTGACTGAGCTGAAACTTTGTAAACAGGCTTGTTTTAGGGTACTATTTAACATATTAAAAGTCCCCATGTATAGACGCTACGTTGCGGGCAGGGGAGGGTCCAAAAGGTCCAAAAAACCAGTTTTTTGCAAATAACTTGGAAAATATCAACTTTACGGAAATTTATGTAGATATAAAAGTAGCTTACAAAATTCCGCACAATTTCGTTTTTTATTCAAGTTTGTACGACCAAATGGAGCAAAGATAGAATTTTTAAATAAAAGTTGTAAAGAATCTAATTATGAACAATTTCATTTTTTATTCATTTCTCTACGGTCCAAATTCGCCGAGTGTTAAAAAAAATGTTATCATTGATCCATTTGGTCGTACAGACTTGAATAAAAAACGAAATTGTGCGGAATTTTGTGAGCTACAATTTTTATATTCACATAAATTTCCGTAAAGTTGATATTTCCCGAGTTATTTGCGAAAAACTGGTTTTTTGGATCTTTTTTACCCTCCCCCTAGCGTCTACACATGGGGACTTTTAATATGTTAAATAGTACCCTAAAAGCCTGTTAACAAAGTTTCAGCCCAGTGATCATCAGTATTATTTTCTCCAAATTTTGTCATTTTACTGGGCTAGTAGTTGATACATATTTAACAAAATGTAATAAGAAAAGGCGTACCGTAGTAGCGCCATTAACCTCAAAAAATTATTAAACAGACAGTTTTTCAGTCACGTAATCGTAGTTGTTATCTGAGTGTAGAATAATAAACACATTTAAATTATATAGTAAAAAATAATTTAAATTAAATAGTGAGTCAAAGGTAAGTTTTTATTTATAATAGATTTGAATTTCCATACGATTGTATGTAATTGCTGTACAATTAATGTATATTTGATTGGGATGAATGAGTCGGTAAATGTCTATTTCCTCCGTGAAATTAACCTCTCTTAGTTCAGCGTCCAGAACAACTCTTTGTTCGTCATATTTGTTACATCTCAGAATAACATGGTGGATATCCTCGCATTCACAGCCGCATTCACATCTCTCACTGTCAATGTAAATGTAGTTCTTTCTCTTGAGGGAAGCCAGGTTATAATGGTTAGCTCTTAGACGATTGATGAACGTGATAAAGTATCTTTCAACTCTAACCTTCCGAAACCACGGCACGGTCGAATCACGGTCATAGAACGTGTCAAAATAGAAAGTTCCCTTGTATTGAGCGTCACGTACGATCGATATCTGCGTAGACTCCCTCTCATACATCTCTCCTTGCTCGCGCCAGTAAATCCCCCACCGGAACCGTGATGGAGGGGTCAGGCTCCTCCTCCGCCGCCTCCTTAGTCAACCCATCAGCGATCTCGTTACCCAGAATTCCCGCGTGAGCGGGAATCCACGCGAGTACGATCTTCTTATCACAAAGTTTTTCCAGCTTATAAATCAATATTCTCGCTTCAGTCACATACTTGTTCTTGTGTACATTTAAATGGTTATTTCTAATAGATTTAAGAACAGCTTGGCAATCAGACAGGATAATTATTTTGTTTCTATCCCCGTATTTGCGGGTCCATAGCAAGCGAAGAGCTGAGGACACTGCAAAAGCCTCCGCAGTGTAAGAGGAACAGAGGACGGGTAGACTCATCTTGAAAACCTCGGCGTAATCGCAGATAACAATACTTGCTCCTGTAGAACGTGCTGACTCGTTATATGATCCATCCGTGAATAAAATATCTGGGTCCGAACCTAAATAATGTTTATCAATAATCTTTTGAATAAGTGACAGGTCAGAAATCTTTTCTCGCTTTCTCGCAGCACCAATATCAATGTCTACAGTAGGTTTATACGTTTGGGCGTTGTAGGAACCGCTGAAAATAGGATACTTTTCAACGGAGTCAATGAGATGCCTGGTACGTCTTACTTTTCGCCATATTTCCGACAGCAAAGAAAGACGATACGCAGGTTGTCTATATCGTTTGAAATTCTCTCCCTCTAGAAGATGATGTATCTTGTCGCACAATCCGTTGTTGTTGTGAGCAATCGCCTTGTTAACAAAATTAATACCCAACAGCATGGCACGGTCCCTCAGGTGAGTCACTTTTGCCTCCGCCACAATCACATTGTTGGGGGTGGAATTTCTATAACCGAGAGCTGTACGAATGCCCAAAAATTGAGCTCTCTCCAATTTTAACTGTAAGGAGGCCTCTCTAGGGAAAAATACAAAGCTCCCATAATCGATAATAGACCTTACAAGGCTTTTGTATAGCATCAGCGACGTATTTACCTCCATACCTCTGGATACTCCACAGAGATACCTGATAATGGAATTAGCGTTCCTGTATCTGGCGGTCGAAGCTTAACTTGTTGTCGAGCCATATTCCTAGGAACTTTGCACCACAGCAATTGAATACGTCACATCCGTTAATATGTATGCACATCTGTCTATCAATGTATCCGCTCTTGCTGAACTCCACCAGCACCGTCTTTCTCGGCTCTAAATCCAGTCCCATCTCACGGAGACGGTTAGCGATGATGTCAATCGCACATTGGAGCAAGAGTCGGTTTCTTTCGCGATTTGGTCCACGGACGTAGATCCCGATGTCGTCCGCAAATTCAACCGCCTCGACACCCTCCGGCAGATCCGCACAAAGGCCCTGCGTGTATAACGAATACAATACCGGACTCAGGACAGCACCTTGCGGGAGATAAAAAAATATCGTAACTTTTTTGTTATTTTTTTAAAATAATATTTTAGCACAATGTTAGCACAACTTAGCACAACTCAGCACAATCAAAAAAATTGAAAAAAACGAAAAGTGGGGGGCTGACCTAAAAATTATTTTTAAGTTAGCCCCCCACTTTTTGTTTTTTTCAATTTTTTTGATTGTGCTGAGTTGTGCTAAGTTGTGCTAACATTGTGCTAAAATATTATTAAAAAATAATAATAACAAAAAAAGTTACGATAAAAAAATCATTTTTGGATATAATTTATTTTTTTATCGTAACTCTCTGTTATTATTTTTTTAAAATAATATTTTAGCACAATGTTAGCACAACTTAGCACAACTCAGCACAATCGAAAAAATTGAAAAAAATGAAAAGTGGGGGGCTGACCTAAAAATTCGTTTTTTTAAATTTTCTTTCGTATTTTTCATATTATGGTTATAATATTCGAGCACAATATAGCACAAACCTAGTACAATTCAGCACAACCGTGAAAATATGTTAATTCTAAAAGTGGGGGGCTAACTTCTAATAGGTCTACAAAAATGATCTTTTATCATTTTTTCATATCTAGTACATGATTTATACGTATTGCTATACGTATCAGCTATACAGCAACATTTCAAATTTTATGTATCTGCTATCTATCTGAAATATAACATGCTGTGCGGGAAGTAACACCCAAAGAGAGTAAATCCCATATTTGAATGTTCTCAATTTGCTTTCGATAATATATATTATAAGGATTAACCATTAATTAAAAATTAACCATTGGCGGTTCAAAATCACACTCAACTTTTAAGGTTTTTTTTTTTTTTTTTTTTATTACAGTTAACACCAAAAGTTGAGTGTATTTTTCCATAAGGGTTGGTTTATGACTATATCTTTATTATAAAAAATTATAAAAATCACAGTACAAATCTCAATAAATTTATTTTACGCGTCATAAAATACAAAAGTCGATATAACTTACGTGTAAATAATCGCGACGACAAAAAAATATAGATTTAAAGAGATTATCAAATAACTCAACAATTAGTACTATAAACTATCGCCAGACGCGAACATTATTCGATTATGACAGAGTGTTCTAACGTACAGCTGTACCCAAGGTAGGTACAGCACTTTTCCCTACTTACAGGTATAAAACTTAAAAAATAATTCTGGAAACTTTTGAGTACCCCTTTCAATAATTACATACTTTTATTAAATCGCATACATTAAAACAAAATTCAAGTCTTATGTCATTTCTTTTTACAGGCTGCAATAACAATCTGCTTCCTCTTTGTTCTCTCGTGGACTCCGTATGGTGTTCTCGCAATGATTGGTGCTTTTGGAAATAAGGCATTGTTAACTCCCGGTATCACGATGATACCAGCATGCGCGTGCAAATTTGTGGCTTGCCTGGATCCATATGTATATGCCATAAGCCATCCAAGATACAGGTAAATAAAAGTGAAGAATTTTGTTTTTATTTCCTTTTTATCTCAATTATAGGTATTATAAAATATCTGATCTGCTGTTGCAGCTTATAATGATTATAAAGTAAAAAACGATGCTGTGCAGTGCATATTACAGATAGTCAAATTACTACATACTACAATACGATCAGCAATGTTATTGACAAAATGCTAGGAATATAACAAAAATTATTAACAAACTATGATAACAAATTTGATGACAGTAGAAGATAATTTGCAACAGTCTAGTAGATTGGTGACAAAAATTGAATAGAATTTGGGTTCAATTGAGTTTGCACACGGAGTTGGTACGAATGGCGCCTAGAATAAAGTCGAGCTTACGAGTGCTTCTCTAGATTTTCGCAAAATTAGTCCATTCCTGGGCTTTTGTGCCTCTTCTTTTGGCGGTATCGCCTTAGGTTCGGAGAGTGTTACCTCATAGACTTGGAATACTGTTCCCGAGCGGGTTATTACTTGCGTGACGAAAAACTGCGCGTCGTGCCGGCTTCCGCACGGACAGACGGCCATCTTGGCCTTTTTTATCTTGTCCATACTTTTCTCGTGGGACTGTAACTTTTCGGATTTTACTTTGGGCAGTGCGCGGCCCGTCGACAAAGCAACTCTTGCATGTGCTAAAATTGCCCGTGTGGCGGACCAAAACTATCAAGCATCTTCTGCCTAGTGCCTGGTGCAATTGAGTACATTTAAGTGCAATTAAGTGCCTCGTCATTCACGGTCAGGGATCCCCCTTCCCCTCTCTTCCTCTTTGTTCTCTATTCAGTCCTTAGATCATAGATTTCGCCGAGGAGAAAGACCCCCGCTGCAGTGCATGACTCGGTGAGCCAGCGGAAGTGGAGCGGCTCTGGTCTCCCTTATGAACAAGTTACGTGGTACGCATCCCTTGTCCTTTGCTATGGTTCAGGTAAAAGAGGATGATGAAGTACGTTCTAAAGAGCACGCCAAATCTATGTATAATAACCTTTCTATGGCTACGCGTAAAAAAGATAAGAACCTTAAAAGGGTGATAGACAATAGGGATGTTTTTTCCTCATTCTCACCCTCGACTAGTAAGGTTATTAATGCTTTCCTGAAGGATAATAATTCTTCCTCCTGTCCCCCGGTATCTTTTTCCTCTTCGATTTTGATATCGGATGAAATATTAAATAACAGATATTCGGAAAATGATCAGGATTTTTTCTGTGTTCACGTACAGAGGATCTCTGATGTTAGAAGCTTCCTGGATCCGACCATAGTGGGAAAAGCGATTTCCAAATTAATGAGGAGTGATATCTTAGAAATTGAGACTGTGGTCTTTGCCAAAGTTTCTGTATTCCTAAGATAGATATACTGCGAATAATCTTGTTGCCCACTCTCAGTTAAAGTAAAAAAATTTGATTGCATTTTTTCTCCTTTTTTGCACCTTGCTATTATGAGGAATATTCCGTTAGACTTGGAGGATGTGCCGTCGTCAGCTACCAGGTACTCGTGGAAGTCACGAGGAATACAATACACAATACGCGTTGATACATTTTGACCACAGGTTACTTCGGTTTGTTTGACAGGATTCACGATCCTTAGCAACCGGGTTTTTGAAAAAGTCTCCAATAGATGGATGAAGAACCTATATTTGAAATTCAACCACGATGTGGATATAAAGGGAACCGAGTTCGAAGGCAATCTGGCAAATTGACCTTCTGATAAACCTAAAGGTTCAATCACGCCGCGCATTTTTTAGACAAAGATTCCTAGAACTGTAAAGAAGCGCGACTCACCCTTTTCCGCTTGACCAAATATTTGCAGTTAAGCGGAAAAAGGTTGCGTCAGTCGCAACTCCAGGCGCTAGCCGCCTTGAGGAAAGCGCTCAGACGCCGTCTCCAGGCGCTAGACACTCAGCTTCCGACTCTTCGCCAACTCCTAGCGCCAGCCGCTCTGCTTCTGGTGTGTAGACGCCTACTCTCGGCGCCGGTCGCCCTCGTAGATCTTCACCAATCCTCGGCGCGAGTCGCCCAGCACCTGGGGTATCAACTCCACCAAAGAGAAAACGTCCCTTCGAAAATGGGATCTCTACTCCCAGCTCCGGAAGATCAACGCTACCGAACCTGTGGGTCCTTCCTTCCCTCATATCTCCGCTTCCACTATCATCAATCAGGAGAGCCACCGAGGGGACGCAAACAAGTCAGGTGGAGTTTAGGGAGGCGTCAGGATTCGGACAAGTAAACAAGAAATCTGTAGCGACGCAGACGAAGCAACGAAGAGGCCGAGGTTGGAGAAGAAGATTGTAAGACAAAAAACAATTTCAAAAATGTTCCTAATTAAAAATAAATGTTCGAATTTATGAAAATAAAATGATTTAAAAAGAGCAAACTAATTGAAATATATCTTAGCGATTCATTAAGCGGGACTGCGTTACGTCCTAAAGAAGACTATAAAATATTAGAAAATATCCAGAGCCCTTTCAAGGTTCTTCAAGTTCGGAGATTGAATCGTAGGATTCGTGAAACGGTGCAGGATTTTGCAACTGATAGGAGCGACTCAAACTCGAACCCGAGCTTTAAGTTTGTTCTCTCGAAAACAGTAGCAATAACATTTGCTGGTTAGCGCCTTCCGAAGAAGGTAACGATTTATCGTGTCTATCGTGAAATTTTCCCTTACGTCACGCGCGTATCGCAATGTCGAGCTTGCTTTAGATTTGGTCACGTCAAAGCCAGGGTAAGGGAGCTTTGAGATGTGTTAGATGTGGGGATAAATCGCATAGGGATAAAGTACAATGTCTTGCACTAGAACCCTTGTGTATTAATTGTAAGGGTTCTCACTCGGCTGACCATGTTGATTGCCCGGAACTCAAAACTCAAAAGGAAATCAGAATGATAGATGTATTCCGTAACATCACTCTTGCGGATGCATGTGATATTGTCAGGGGCATTATTAATGTCTTGCCTCCAAACTCTTTTTCGGTTGAAGATTTTCCTTTTCTAAAGAATGTTAACCTAAATTTGTCTATACATAAACAACGCTCCTTTGCCCAAGCTTCGGCGGGTTTCACTGTGAAACTTTCACACCCTCCTTTCTCCAGCTAATATGCTATATGTCCCTTCATCTTCATCTTCCTTGACGTCATCTAGAGGCATTTGGCATACCGAAACGGGTGCCTTCAATTAAAAAAGCTAGGAAGATAGTTAGGGCGTCTTCTTCGACTCTGCTTCTCAAAAGGACTTGTCGAGGATGGCTATGGATATAGACAAAGATAGGAAAAAAGCTTTCAATACCTCTTCTCGACCTATACTTGTTAATTCTCCCTTAGCTGACAGTACTCAATTAGGAGTTAATCCCCTGAACATAAATGACTTCTCTCACGAATTTTTAAGCTTCTTGATTACTTTTACAGAGCGGGATTTTCCGATATTTAGCTCATTAGGTGTTGCCCATAAGGCTTCTCTTCTCTCTGATTCGCTTAAAAGAATCTCTTTCAATAAAGAAACGAACTCCTCTACTCCTCAACTGCCAAACTTGCTAGATGATTCACCGTGAACCAAAAATATTTCAATAGAACTTGCACATGGCCTGCTAAGCAAAAATGATTCTTTACTTGGGGTTATAGAGGACTTTGACATTCTGCTCTTTTCTGAGACTTGGTTGACTTTGAATCGCTCTATTTTGTTTAAGAATTGTAATATTTTAAAGTTCGATAGTCCCTCTTCTAAATCAGGGGGCTTGCTCATTGCAATTAAAAAACACTTGCTACATTTGCTATGTAGTTGAAAGGGATATCTTCTTCTTGCAGCTCTCTTTAAAAACGCTTGCCGTTAGGATTTCTACTACGGTGGGCGAAATCCTGATTGTTTCAATATATCGACATCCGGAACAGTCTCCTCATTATTTGTAGTTTTACTTTGTCACATTTTGTCAAAGTTAAGTTTATCTGTCCATTTTTGGGTCAAAACATTTAAGTTATTTACCCGGAATTTGGACCAGATTGCGTGATTAATCCAGTCCGAAAAGATATCAAATTTTATATGTTTTAAACCGAGGATTTGATTTGTTTATTAAATTAAAATTTGAAAAATCAACTATTAAATTCAAAGGAATTAGTTTATATGGAATTAAAGTTTGAGTTTTATTGTTTTGAATTTCGGTTTCTAATTTCTTTAATTTGAATAGGAATGGAAAAGGATCTCAGTTTGATTGTATAGGTTGTTTACTCTGACATTTAATTTTTTTTTAGTTGAAATGTTTTCCCCCTTTTCTGGGCATGGATGAGGATAAAGAGAAATCTTGTTGCCACACTCTTTGGCAGCGACAAGAATATCTGGAAATTACTGTTGCCACGCTTTTTGGCAGCGACAGTTAAGGATAAAAGTTGAGAAATATAAAGATATTATTACGGTTAAATTAGTTTTGAGAATTGAAATTAAAATTACCTTTATTCAGGGAGAACACGTTTACAACTGTTGTTTAAAATCTGGTTTAATATGATTTAATTCTTTATTTACAATTGTAGTTAAAATCCTGATTTAAAGAAAGTATTAATTCCTGATTCAAGAGGAATTTTGTTAAAATTAAAGAGTACAGTCGACACTCCTTATTCGCGGATTTGCTATTCGCAGTCAGCATATTTGTGACCACATTTCTTTATCCGCGGATAGATATTTCAATATTTGCGGATGTAAATAATCATCGAAGAAGATTTATCATACTTTACAATAAACTTTAGAAAAACAATTTTAATTTAAAGTCCTATACGAAGAGTTTCCACATCATGCCTATGTCTACTTTAAACAATTTATTTGTAAACAATTAATTTACTTTATTTATGTTTTTTATTAACTTAGCACATATTATTTATTTTTCTGTCTTTTTTTTAACCTTATTTAATCTTTGATGACGTCTTTCGGATTCAGTTATTTATTGTAACGTTAAGCTTTTATTTTGTACATTGACGCACAATTTATTTTTCTCTATTTTCTCGTACTTTAGCTTCTTGGTTG